CACCCCCCCCCCCCCCCCCCCCCCCCCCCCCCCCCCCCCCAAAAAAAAACCAACTCGCCCGGAAAGAGCGTGGAATTATCCGGCAATGGCAGGTTCTGCGTCACGCACTTCGCCTGCGCACAATCCACCGTCCGCAGCTCCCACTTGTACGTGAGCCCCGTGAGGCTGTTGCACCCGGAGCTGCAAGCCCCCTCGATCGCGAATCGCGTCGTGGGGTTGATGGTGATCCCGTCTTCGTTGGGGGGCTGGCACAGGGATGCCACCTTGCACCTACGAGTCGATCCCCAATATCATTTATTTTGCTGATTTTACAAGAAAAATCCCTAAAGTGTCAATCTAAACATCGTTTATAAGTCATTCGTTATATTTCAAACCCACTTTGGAACTTAAAAAACGCTGACCGACGATGCAAGCTTACGAAGCAGACGCGTGAAAAATAAATACAACCCTGAACCTGACCGGACCGGCAAGAATCAGCTAAGCCTCAGACCTGATCTCGACGTTGGGAATGGAACTGTTCGGCGAGATCTCGACGTCGAGGAACGCCTCGCCGATGCGATCGTCCTTCCTCACCAGCACCATCACGTTGTAGAGGCCGGGCTCGTAGAAGTAGACGGCCGGGATCAACAGGGTCCCGCTCGTGCTCTCCAAGACCCCTAAGGAGCATCGAGTCTCTCAGGCTTGCGGGGGCGAGGGGGGGCCAAGGGGGGCAAGGAGGGATGAGAACCTGCGCCGTTGCCGAAGCAGCCGCCGCCGTCGGGGATCGGTGGCGTGGTCAGGATCGGGCGGGGAGTCCGGTCCAAGATCCCGTTCGCCGTGGGGTAGTACTCAGTGACTCGTTTGCAGTAATACTCGAATGTCATTCCCTGATGTTTTTTTTTTGGGGGGGGGGGGAGGGGAACGGGGGGAAATGGAATGAGATGGATGCTTTAGGATTAAAAATGTTTGAGACAGTAAAATGTTGAAGGAATTCGAATTAATTGCGAAGAATACGAGTATTGCAGGCAGTCAGACTCCAGAATTCACTGCAACACTGCAGAAGCGTGTCTCTACTTTCTGCTTAAAATCCTGCATTCGCATTGTTCGTCTTATTTTCCCCCTTTGTACAGATTCGGGCCCCTCAAAGCGTTACCACACGGACGCTGGAATCACGGTGTCCGAAAGAATCGGAAATCACCTCATAGAAGCGTGAATATCTGTGAAAGTCACCGTATTGTCGCCGGGCGAGTCGGGATCGGAAGAGTAGATCCCAGGCTCCAACTCCACGGTCCCGTCCAGAGGCCTCAGGATCCTAGACATGGCACCCGGCACGATCATAGCTGCGAGGGGGGACGGCTTCACCTCGATGGACGTCTCTGCGTCTCGTTCGATCGGATAGGTATTGAAGATCGGGCGGCCTGTGGAAGGGATTTTGTTCGACGCGAATATATTTATTTTGATTTATTTTATTTCTTTCTTTATTTTTTTTTGGAGGGGGGGGGGGGGGGGGGGGCCG